TAGGTAACGAAGATTAGTGATAAAAAGTTTCTGACCTACAATTAAATAAATATTAAGGACTTCTTCTTCTTCTTCGGTAAACTCGGCTACTAGGGCCATTCTGACATACATGGTAAAACATTAAGGACTAATATCCTTTAAAAATAAAAAAAAATTTAAGAGACTCAAATGTAAATAAAAATGCATTATGATAAAATTTGTTTGAGTAAAATTATTTAGTAGGAGTACAGAGGAGTATAATTAAATTATTAGCTTCTAATATTATTATATATTTATGCAACGATAAATCAATTGTATTTTAATTAGTATAATTTTTAATGACAACAATCATTTTTTAATGTTCCAAAATTGACATTTTGTTTAGAACGAATATATAACCCTTATTATTGATAAAATTGAATATTTATACGAAATTTCAAACGTAATATTTTAAAGTACGGATTGTGATTACTTCAAAACTTAAATAATTTTAAACGTTAAAGAAATTATAATCAAATATATAATCAAAAATAAAGTGTATCATTTTAAAGTTATAAATTAATAACGTAATTAATATTCTAAAATTATGATCTATTTTAAATAATTTATATTAATAACTACCTTACCAACTACAATTATTTACATATTTATATATTATTTCTTTATTTCACTTTAGTTATAGTTTTTATAATAATGATCAAATTGAACGATCAATAATTTCCTATAGTATTGAAGTCCAAGGTTTAAATTTTATATTCTAAAAAATATAAAATCTAATAGTACACAGTTTTAATATTGTACTTTAATAGTTGTGATAGTTTTAAATCACACGTGAAACATGTAATTTATGTACAGTAATTTAAGGTAATACTGATTACGTAACATACCATTTGCATTTACCAATATTGAACAGAGAAATCCACCATTGTCTCACCGGAGGGCCCGATATCAATAGATTTCTTATAAGAATCTAACCCTGAATAAAGTAATATTATTCTACCAAGCACTCATAAAGAGCTGATTATTTAAAAATATAAAATGTCAAGTACATATTTATTTATTTAATGAACTATTATGCACACAGCAAAAATAATAAATATTTTGCACTTTCAAAACCAGTAATATTTATATACTCAATAATTTCAACGCAGATTATGCTTGAGCTAACTTTAACCTAAATCGTATCAATTATTATAACACATATATTTTCAAACAGCCTCCCTGGAATTCAAGTCGAGTTGTGTTGCTCATTGTAATTATACAAATGATTTTCCTTCAACTAATCGCTCACGGGAAGTGACTGGTGGGTGTGTAATAAGTGAAACGTTAAAAAAATTCGATTATGTAGGTACTAGGATCCTAGGACAGATGTTAAATAATCGTTTTACTTATAAATATTAGAAAGTAATGATAAACCATTCGGACGAAAGGTGAAAAAATATACATATTGAATATTTTATAACTAAACAATAGTAATAACTAAAATGTCTTGTATAATAAAATCATTTAATACTCTTTCGTTTGAATTATCTCATCCCACATATGATATAAAATTTGATTTTGTTAAATATATTATAAGATTAAAATCGTAGCTTAAGTATTACATAAATTAATTTGTACTACATCTGTTGATATTAAAATCAAAAAACTATGAAGTTTAGTGTAAAGAAATAAAATAAACCAACATAAAAATGTTTGATTGCAGTTAATGTTACCTACTTACCTACTATGACTTGAATAAAATTACATAGAAAATTATAGAGAAAAAAAATGATAAATCTGAATATTCCACTTTGTAGTTATATCGTTGATCATAAAATAATTTATAATTAACGTTTATAATTTATAAATTCATAAACTCAAATAACATGTTAAATTATCAAATACCAAACTAGTTATTTTTTCTAAAATAAAGAATAATATAAAATAAAAAATTGCGCTCTTAAGAAAATGTACAAATAATTATAAGAAAAACTCCAAAGAAAATCGAAATTAACTTTTATTAATTATATAACGTATCGAATTTTATTAATAATGTAAATATCCAACGTATAAGACGATGCGCAAACGTTTTACAGCAGCTTTCATTAATTTATACACTACCTACAATTATATTACTGTTGTATACTACTGACTCAATTATACAGCAAAAATAATATAAAAAATACAAGTATCAAAAAACTCAAACTATATTGACAAGGTCAGTATCTAGTCAATATGTATAGAAAATATACTATTCAAATTACTCAAGTTGCGAATGAAACTTTCAATGAGTCAACCAGAAATCTCAATGGGTTGTAAAAAAAATAAACGTTTAAATACTTTATTTTTTCTTTACCAGACTTATACGTATTGCTTTATTATTTAAAACAAGAACTAGGAAAGAGAAAAGTTTTTATATTTTTCTAACCAATTATATTGAATGGTAATAAAGAAATAAATTTAACCCGAAAATTAAAACAATTGTAGTTCATATATTAATGATTTTTTTTTAATTTTAATATGTATATATATATATAAACAGTTTGAAAATAAAAACTAATATTTTGATAAATATAGGAAAAAATAAGTATAAAAAATGTTCCATCACATAATTCTATATCCGTACTCATCAATTATTACAAATGTATGTATAAGTTAATTTTCGAAGTTATTATAACATATGATAAATTTATTTTGTCTTTTAATTTTAGCTTTTATTTTAGTTTCTTCAGTGATGATTTATAATTAAATTAACCTCATTAAATCCAAGCGCTTTAAAAAAATTTTGGTTATGTTTTAAAAAAATTCAAATACAAGAAAAATATTGGTAAAAAATAAAAAAATCCATAAAAACATTCTCATCTGTACAATTTTAACCTACCCAACGTATTTTTTCAAATACTGATTAAAAAGTGTGCTGAAATCTTATAATATAATATTTTAACTTGTTTGTATAATACATTTATAAAATAATGAGTGAATTACTTAAAAAAAAATAACATTTTTACTATACAATTTAATAAAATAAAAATATTAAACTTAATAAATATGTAATGTATTTTATACTTAAATCAAATTTAAATGCACTTAATACTCTTCATTATTTATATTGGTTTTATAATTTATTAGATATACCTACGGTATAATGTATAGTTTGTGCGCTTCTGATTCTACGTAATAATACAAAATAACGTTCGTTAGGTATTTCTTAAATAACCAGTTTCCTTGTTATACAAAATAACCTTAACAAATTATTTTGTCTCACTAGCCTAAGGTGTTTTAAATAGAGATTTGTTGCTGTATTAGTTAATAGTTATAACGAAAAAAACAGTAACGGGTTTATTTATACAACTAAGAATAATTTATCAGAAATTTGAAAACTATATTCGTAACATATTGGAACAAAAACAATTTGTAATATTACAAAAATAAAGTGAACAACTCATTTTTATAAATAAATATAATAAACAAGATAGGTCATTTTACAGGGGGTAAATATTTATATACAACCACCATTTCCTTATTTTAAGTGAGTCTTTTATGTACATAATTATTATTTGATGGGTATAAAAAAAAGCCTACAAGCAACGCCTGTTCATTCTTAATTAAACTACCATTAGGTGTATAAATGATAATGTTTTGCAATATAATGTCTACTTGAATATCTGTACCGCATATCAATATCAAAAATCAGAAATAAATAATGCGTACATTTCAACCAAATTCTTCGATTATGAACCCATACTTACCAGTTCATCGTAATAAACAGAATAGAGAGGGGAAAAGCGTTTTAAAAAGATTATATTCATTAATCTAAGAATTATTAAATATCGTGTTCAATGATAGATTAGCTTCAAGATCTCACATTTTACTGGAACCAATCGAATGCACTTGAAAATATGGCAGATTTAAGTGAAACGATTTAAAAATATTACGAATGCTAAGAATACAACACGAGCAAGAATCATGCACACGGACGTCAAAAATATGATATCATAGAAATATATTCAATTGTACACAAGATAGACCGAGATTTAGCTTTAATCAATAACATAGGTACATGAAAATCAAACAAAAATATTAGTATAAACAAAAGTTGGTAAACAATCCATAAATATTTTATCAAATTAACAATAAGTTTATTATTGCTATATTTGTTAAAAATATGTGTATATTTTAATTTGTACTTAAGTATTTTATGCTAATAACAAAATAAAGTGAATACTTAATTCCATTTAATAATTATACATTTTGTTTTCATAGTAAACCATTTCTCTCATATTTAATAAGCTAAATAATTACAAGTTACATTTGTAGTCTTATTCTATATATCCCATATAGTATTTTGCTACATTTTATTTTATTTTTGGCACCTCGAATTCTAGTATTTTCATGAATAAAATTAGATAAATTTGTGATTATAATTAAAATTGAAATTTAAGTAATTTTAATGATAGTAATCTTCCCAAACAATTTTCATAGCTTCATAAAATATACTGCTACTCAAAATCCTAATATAATGTTACTCTAAACTGCTTCTCTTTGTATTAACAAACAACAATGAATTTATTGCCAAAAGAAAAAATACGACCAAGCCAGGTGATACATATAATACACCCCTAAAGAGTAACAATCCAACATCTTGCCAAAGAATTCAAACGATACTAACAAAGAACTATGGATTCCATAACATGTTTCCATGAGACTTATCTACTATGAGAGAAAAAAAACAAATTATTGCTGAAAATAAATCGCAAAAAAAAAACTTTTGTCTCTTTGTCTACAAGAAAATCGAAAAGCACACGATGAATTCACTTAAAGTATTTTCAACTATAAAAATCACAAAATAATTATTACATTAAACGATACCTATGAATAAAACTATACCTTAGACATCATAAAAACAAATGCCGTTTTTATAAAAGTAATGTAGTAAATAATTGTTATGTTTAAAGAACAAACGTTCGTTATAATAATATAAGATATAGGACAGCAATCGGCTATGATTGTTAAAAACATAAGTAAAATATATTTCTTACCTGTAATACAGACGTCGCTGTGCAAAGTGCAGTAACGAACACCACCAGACTGATGGATAACCATATCCGGTTTCTATGCAGTAAATACACCATAGCACAATTGTTATGGACTTAAAATCCTAAAATTTCTGCTGATGTCACACGAATGCTCTCAAAATCTGCTTAAGTGACGAACGCAGAGGGTTATAAACCTAAAGCCTCCAGATACTCCCAGATTCAAATTTCCATTGTTAAATACGATCCTGGGCGGCGATTAACTACGAACAAAAAAGATAATTACTTAATTAACTTATGTTTACAAATTTATTATTATAATGTCTTTTAAAACAACAAACAAATTTAATTACTGGAAAATTAAAATAGTTAAACAAATACTACAAACTTAAATTTTATAATAAAATACAGAACGAGTTCAATATCAACCCAAGTGCACTATAATTAAAATAACTAATTATAACCAGAGATGATCAAGATACTGGTAAACAAAAACCTAGATACATCAATTTTTATCTCTGGATACCAGATACAAGATAAATTTAATTTTTTTGAAAATATACTACATATATTTTTGTACCTTTAGATACCTATAAGATTTAATATAACAAATACTAAATACTATATTTTAGATAAAGTATACAATATTGAAAATAAATTGTATACAGTGTAAAAATCCCGAAACTATAGTTCCATGTACACCTAAAAAATTGGAATTTAATTTATACTTATGTTAATAATTTGAATATCTTAATTTGTAAATAAAGATTTTATACTTTGATTCCTATATTATAATATTGACTAGTATACATTGACACTATTGAATCCTGATTCCATAAAGCAATCATAATTTAAATTTAAAACTTTTATGAATTAACTATATAATTATTAATATGGTATTATGTTAAGTTATTAATTGATCCAAGGTCGTATTTTTTTTAGGGGGCAAAGGGGAAATTCGTCCCCTTCATAGCTCGTATTTTTTACACCAATTTATTTAAAAAAAAATTATTTTTGGTAAAGATCATAAATTATAATGATTCCATATCTGAGGTTTATTCTTATTTTTGCTTATTTTACACACAGTATGTTAAAAATATTTATATTAAGTACATAAATATTTAATTTAATTTGGTACTTATATTTATTATTTACTTATTTATTTACGCGAATAAGCATCAAAAGCTTTAGATAATCAACTGTAAATTATTTTAAGTTTGCATAGAATAAAAAAATAGTTTTGCCCCCTCCTCCCAATATCTCAAATCATATATACCCTTAAATTGATCTGTATTTTAACAAAGAAAATAAAAATTTACTACACAGAAAAATGTATCAAAGTATAAATATATTTAAAATGCTGCCTATCACTGACTTTAAATCGAAAATTGCATAAATCACATTCATATTAATACAATATTATTCAGTAATAAATATTTAAAAAAATAAAACCATACACATAAGTAATTTTTTTTCAGTATGATAAGTTTGTCTCAATAACATGAGTATATATATATATATATATATATTAATATATAAACGTATAATAAATTGGAATAAAGTATATCCTAGAAGTCCTTTCAAATATAATTTAATTTGAAACTATGTTGATAATACGATCTTCCCTCCTTCCATCTTCAAATTCGGACTAGTACGATTCTGTAATGGTCAAATTCAAATTATATTTGAAAAAAATTATATATTATACAAATTATATATTCATTTCATTTGAAATATAAATATAAAATGCGCTGGTAATATACAATACTATAAATCGAATAAATCGAATAAATTAAAAATAATTATTAAAGCATACAATTATTTTTGTTATTCTCATTAATAAATTTGAATGGAAAAATTATAAACAATTTTAAAAATACAGATTTAAAATCACGTTTCAATAATAGGTCTTACTAAGCCTAATATTTTTTAAATTATTGATATTTTTAATAAATAATATGATTAAATTATTCTAAATACTCACTATTAACCATTAAAAATACTAAAGTTACAATTTTATAGAGAAACATTGGCAATTTACAAATATTATATCTCTTAAATAAAGTTATCCTTTAGTCCACTCTCAAACTACATTTTTGAAAAAACTTTTTTCACAAATTTCAAAATTGTTTTTCGGAACAAAAATAATAATTTCTGGCTGCTCGTCTAATAAAGCATTATCTTTTTTAAAAAAAACATTTATAGCAAACATTTTTTTGCGAAAATTATGAATATTTTAAAATGAATATTAAATGCATTAATTCATTTCCGATGTATTGAGAGTTGATATACTCATTAACTACCTAAATTCATTCGAAGATAGGTTAAAACTGAGGTTATCATTATAAGTAAATATTAATACTAATAACGATTTAAAACGTCTAATTATAAATAATAATAATTAAGATATTAGCTTATGCTTGAAACTATAAACAAATTAAATTAATATATTATATTATATTTGAAAAAAAAAAAGAATAAATCGAACATACTTTAGTACTTCTAATAACGATTATGTACATTAAATATGATTGTACACAATAACTCAATCTTTGAAATCATTTGTATATATATTTAAAAACAAATAGCTATGGACTCAATATAAATAGATATAATCATTTATATAATAAATGAAATCAGTAGGTTATTTTTAAAAATAAAACTAACCACCTCGAAAAAAAAATAATAAATAAAATAATAATAATATAATTGATTCTTCTAGTACCACGCATATGATTTAATTCACCTTTCAATGTGGGTATTAAAATATTTACGTACTAATACACAAAGCATATGGTTATCATTTGAGTATTTGGAATAAAATACTTATGGTTAGTTATAAATTATGTAATTTACTAATAATATTATAATATTAATACTCATATTTTCATACAATTATTTTAGAAACAAGTGAAAATACCAAAAAAAAGGCCAAATATTTCGTATCTTAAGCGCCAACGTGGAGTGTAAGATTTAAATATACATTTAATATTTAATCTATTTACCAGTTTAGTGTATACACAACTCTACTGAAGTCTAATTATTGTTATGCATAGTAAATAGTTATCATGTGTTTGTCAAACTCATTGTGAACGCGTTCCCATACGCATTAAAAGATTACATAATGACGAAATATCAGTTAAGTAAATTCTATAGTAGGTAAATTATAATTATCTTTAACTTAAAAGTTTAATTTCGGAGGATTGCTATCAAATTCATTTTAAGGTTTTCTATTTTTATGTGTCTAATAGATTTTTACAATTAAAAAGATAGCTTTTGTTTTTGAATGAAAAATTAAGCATTCTAGGTATGATTATATTTAAATATACTTCATTAAATTACTTTTTTTTTATTGTCTCAAATAAATTAATATAACTATAATATGATAACAAAAATATATAGACAATAAGTAATGACATCACAATTTTTACTTTAAAACTTTTCACTTGAAGTGTCAAATTGCCTCAACTGTAAATGGAACTATATTATAATCAATTATCTGCTAACGACCCGTCAGTTCACAATTATAATCTCAGTTATTTGACTCTTATTTCATGTAATATATTAAATATTCACACTTCTAATAATTTACATAAATATGTTTAATCGCAAACACAATTATATATTAGTAACGACGCAGATCATTTTTATTGTTACTTTTCAACTTGTTGGTATAATTACGTTGAAATAAGCAATTAATTGTAGTACAAATATTAAAATTTAAAACATTTATATTCCCTTTGACATTTAGTACTCTTATTGAAAAAACATTGACATAAAAATAATCAGCAAAACTATAATGGAATCGGTAATAATAAATTGACACTTTTATGCTGAACCCGATTGTTTTGTTTAATTCTATTGACTCTACAAAAAAAAAAAAAAAAAACCCTTAATAATTAATTTGTTTCCTGCCAGAACCGTAAACCAGCACATTCCATTTGCTTAATACGTATAGACAAAATGTATATTTTGCGGTTTTTTAAGTTTTTTTTTTCGTAAGTGTGTGAAATGTATGTAGTCGAATTTTACCTTTAGAGCAGAAAATTTTGTTCCGGGAAATATTGTTACGTGGTTTTATCAATACACAACCAGGGACCACAACAATAAACCAAAATTATTAAAATAACATGCGAACGTTTTAAAAAAAAATAAGACCGCACATGCGACTTCTATGTCTGATAAAGAACTATAAAAGTGTGATACCCTTTTGGTTTAATTTTATTTTCGACACTTTATACGGCTTCGAAGTGCCTCCCGCGCTTCCCCTTATCGTCATTCTCGACAGCCTATTTAACAAAAATATAATATTTAAGTTAATCGAATTACCTTGTACAAGAACAACTAGAATTTTACGTGAATATAAAACGTAGTTTGAACCACAGTTGTTGAGTAAATGTGTACAATTGTATGAAATAAAATATGATAAATTTGGAGCAAATTGTAACAATACTGCGATATGTACAAGAAGTGGATGGGCAGACATAGTTTCGACACTTGAATATTTTTATAGAATTTACTACATTAAACAGTTTTACTTTTGAGAACAATTAATTTATAACATAAAGGATAGAAAAAAATATCTTCTACATTAATTTACCAACAAAGTTCACACACAAAATTATGCTAAAATGAACAAATCACGTTTATGTTCAAAATACCGAACCGTTTGTTTTATTGTGGATACGGAAAAAACAATCAAAATAAACCTGTATGATAAATACATAGATAAAATGTATTGTTTTGTTAGTTAGCATTTCTCTTTATACACACACGTATCACATTTATATATATTTATATACACATATAAATATAAAAATATGTATTCATGTTGTAATAATACTAGTGTTCAGGGTGATTTTTCAAACGTAAGAATCATAAGACCTAGAATAACTGTGTAAACTAATCGTGTGTCTTACGTTTCAAAAAAAAAAGCACGCCAAAATAAATAATACTAAATAATACTATATTCTACACAAAACGTGAATATTATAATGTTATGTACGGTCATGTACGTAAATAGAAAAATAATTAATTTATTACCATCGTGACCAATAAAAACGAATGATATACTTATATGACCGCGTCATATCGATAGTACACAAAATCTATAAAAATGTATACTTGAAAAATAAAAAAATTTGAAAACAATACACTGTTTTTGTTAAAATTGCTTACTTCAAAATTCTAAGAGTATATCATCAAACATATTATCTAAGACTGATAAAAAATTAAAAGTTATCGATGATTATATTCATATAGT